TCTTTTCTCTTCTACTTTGATTCATTCAACTTTTAAATTTTTTAATTTACTAACTGAACTTTCAGATTATTCTTATTTTCACCATTTTGAATTATTTTTATTATTATTTCATATAAAATTAAATTCAATTGTTCGCCATCGTTGGACGCCACTATCGTTGACCGTCAATGGTGGTCATGTCGTAACCTTAATTTTGTTGGAATATGCACCAAAGTCCACGAATAGTATATCAAAAGTGAGGAAAATTGAAATGTTTCAGTCGAGATTCGCGGATTTTGGGTCATTTTTCGGTGAAACAACCACCAGATTCGGACTTAGCATGTCAAAGCGAGTCTCCCAATACAATTTGGAACCAAATGGCAATCAATTTTGAAGGCTGTCATGACGACAAGTGACAGTGATTATTTTAAATATTTTTAAATTTAATAATAAAATAATTTTTATATTTATAATATTTTAAAAAATCATATCAAAGAAAAATAAAAATAAAATAATAGAGAGTGACAAAAAAGTTGAATGTATAAAGTATAGTTAGTAAATTAAAAGGTTTAAAAGTTGACTGATCAAAATAACATAGAAAATAGATTAGTGATGACCTGTGTAATTTACCCTTTTATCAAAAAGGAAAATATTTAGAATCATACTAAAACTTTATAACTACAATTGTAAACTAAAAATATAATAAGAACATTTTATTATAATCATTAATACAAAAAATTAGTTACTTAAAATCTTATAAGGATTATACAAGAAAAAGGTTTAAAAATATAGTCTTCATACCAAAATAAGTACCCAAACTATACTACTTTTCCGAAATAGGTGCCTAAACTAATTTTCGTCTCATTCAGGTGCCTAACATTACAACCGTTGCCGTTTTGGTGCTCGGGCTATCAACGACGTTAATTTTCCCCATTAAGTGACACGTGTCACAATATTATGATTTTGAAATTTATTTTTTAAATAAAATATTAAAAATATTATGATATTTATAATAAAAAAAATACTAACCTTCATCCGCCGCCGCCGCCCTTTCATGCCACAACCACCACTACCAACGTAGTCCCTACCATCCTCCTACTTATACACCGTCGTATTTTTCGTCGATTGGCTGTCAGAATCGAGCGGTTTAAAACATTGATTCATCCTCGATACGACGTTGATCTATCACGATTTCATGGGGTTTTGGTCACCGGGGAGGTCGGGTGGAGCTTCGTCGACGGTAAAAGACGATGGGCGACGTGGGTTTAGGGGTTGAAATGAAGGTTTTTAAAGTTTTGGGTTTATTTCAAAAATTGCGCTTTATATTTTTTAAAAAATATATAATTTTAATTTTTGAATTTTAAATAAAATTTTTAAAATTACCAAGTTGTTACACATGTTATTTAACGAGGAAATTAACATTGTTATCTGCCCAGACACCTAAATGGATAACGTTTGTAATATTAGGCACCTAGATGAGACGAAAATTAGTTTAGTCACCTATATGGGAAAACATGTATAGCTTGAGCACTAATTTTGATATTGAGCTAAAAGTCTAACAAAAAAACTCGAAAAAGATCTTATTACATCAACAAACATGCCACAAAAGAAGATTAAAGTATTGAAATACTATCAACAAATTGCATATCAAAGTCGAATGATGTTAAAAATTATCAATGAATTCAAATCACATATCTATGTCTAATCTGAAATTCTAAAATAGATAATATCAACATAGTAACAAATAAGCACTGTCTTGATTAATTATGTCGATACCAAATCTAACTATATATATATATATATATATATATATATATAAAAGCAATTGTCAAATATAAAAAAATATATCAAAAGATAGAGAAAAATGTATCATAAAAATAAAGTTATTAAAATCTAAAGTAAAGAAAAATAAAAACCGTTGATGATGACAATAAATACAAAAATTAATATCATCACATATCAACTGAAAATGAAGAGAAGTGAATATAGAATTTCTAAAACAAATCTATTTAAAAGAAAGAAAAAGACCCAAACGAATATGTCGTGCCTATCGATGTACAAAGCAAAAGATGTCGTAAAAGTTGACATGATTTTCTTAATGGGAAAAAAAGACCGTGTGTCCCGCGAGAACAAAACCAACTGAAAATGGCATCGCGGTGCGATAGGTGTACCGCCCGAGTGCGCGCGATTTCTTTATTTTATGTATTCTTTTGCCTGACCAATCGTGCTGACGCACCAAGTCGACGTTCAATAAATAAATGCACCGCGAGACAAGAATCAGAATATGTTGAAAATGGCGTCATCTCTCTATTATGAAAATGAGCATGAGCGACAGATTTAATATCGGTTAAAAAAATAAAATCGGTAAAAAATAATCGAAAATATTATTAGTAGTTATCGGTTTTGTTATTATTAGATATTTTATCGAATTTAGTAAAAATGACCGGAAATATTATTAAGCGCTATCAATTTTATTACTGTTAGACACTTTTTTTGAAAATATTAAAAAAATAATGTTTTAGATAAAAATAATAATATTTTTTATATTTTTTTATTAATTTTATTATTTAAATAATAACAAAATTAATAACATTTTTTTAACTGTATATTTAAATGTCGGACTATAGAACTTGCCCTTTATTACTCAATCAGCTAATCTAAAAAGAAAAACGTTGCTTTCCAATGTATTTATCTATTCTATTCTTAAACTTCTCTGACACAAAGTGCATCTCATGAAGGAATTACTTATCTGGTAGCTATCGGCCTATCACGAAGTACCTTTAGCGATTTCTCTGATAAAATCTAACAATCGCTCGTTCTCAACATCGGATTAATTAATTATTTTTTAATTAATAATTGATATCCGATCTATTAATTTATTAATTTAGACCAAATTTTGCATATGTTTATTATCAGGTTGACCTTCCCAACCCAGTTTGTTTCATAATCAAATGTCAGGATTCGAATCTCTGACATTGCTTAAGAAATCTAATGTCTCATCCCACTAAATCAATTGGTTGTTGGTAGACTAATTAATCATTTAATAGACCATCAATTCATGCATTAATCATTAGAATTTAACCTATTCGTTATGATATAATAAAATCTAATCTTCGAGCAGTTTGAGTTGTGTTTTGTGGAATGACTATTTTTTTATACCATGTCGTCGAATCAGTGCTCGAAATATTATATTATCAAAAATTACTTAAAAGTACAAACGCGGCGATAGAAAACATTAAAATATGATTTTATCATATTCAATTTGTAGGTTAACGTCTAGTGTAGACAATTGCTAATTTTTTAGTAGATAATGACGAGTTTGAAACATATGAATAATCAAGTGATCATTTTATAACTTTTAATAATCATAAACTCAATAAAAAGCTCTCTATCGTCAAAAGATTATTTTATAGATTTTAATAGTTGAAGGAATAAAAAAAGTTTATACACTTAAGAAACCAATTGTGTATTTTATAGTATAATTTAATATGACTAACGGAGAGAAAGTATGTGTGACAAAACCATATCCAAACAAGTCAAGCGGGCCCATCTCGATGAAAAAAAAAGTGCGGCTTTTTGTTCCTCTTCTTCTTTAGTTTCTTCGAACGCCGTCGCGCGATTGCCTCTGTTTAGCGAATGATGGCAAAAACATCAAGCAACACCCTTGGTTTTGGTGATCTGAAAAACTCAAATGTAAAAGTAACGATAACAAGAGAAGATCGAGAGATCAAAGCTGAAATGCTATCAACGATATGAAATATTTCTGGGTAATCAAACTCGGACGATGCTGGGTTGGGAGGCACGAGTCCAGATTCAAGAACTCTTGGATTTAATATCCTTAGGGGAGAAGGTTTGCTCCGCCGTTAACAAGGCCAAGCCCTTCAAAGGGGAATGCGGTGCGGTAGGGAAGCTGGTGAATCAACTGGCTCAAACGACGAAGACCCTTCTTTGTTTATCCTAAAAGAAAAACATCGCTTTCCGATTTATTCTACTTCAACTTCTACAAAAAGTAGATTTCATGAATAAAATATTCATCAGGTAGCTATCAAGGCGTACCTTCAGAGATTTCTATGATAAAATCTAACGATCGCGCGTTCTCAACATCGGACTAATTAACCATTTAGTATACCATCATCTATTGCATTATAATTCAGGGTAAATTACGTGTTTAATATTAAAATTATCAGATTTAGTTTTTTTAGTATATAAAATTTCTTATTTTTTTTATTAAAATTATACCTAACGTTTAATTTTTGTTGTATTTTTAATACCCGCTCCACTATTAAAAACTTAACGAACGAATTGTCGTGACATAACTCCTATGGACGGACAACCAATCCGAACAGTGGACTACGAGAGAATGACGAGTCGACCAACATAGTCCAATTTTAGACCCATTGGACAATTGACCATGAAGATCGGAGGATGAAGAAATCAAGATTCCGTCGTTGATTTGAGGAGATTGATGCATTTCTCGATGAAAAGGAAGTCGAAATCACGTTAGGAGTCAAAAAGATGAGGATCGAAAAGTTTCAACTTTATCGGTCGACGGATACGACGGTCGACGGATACGACGATTAACGATTGTAGATGTGACGATCGATGAGCCCATCCGTTAAATTTTTTACAGCGGATAATAAAATGAAATAAAAACTAAAAAATAGATTTAATTTTAAAAAAATTAAAAAAAATACTAAAATTAACAATTTAGGTAATAAACACATAGTTTATCTTATAATTTAATATAATAACGGAAAGAAAGTATGGTCTGACAAAAACATATCCAAACAAGTCGAGTGGGCCCTTCTCGCTGGGAAGAATAAGTGCGGGTTTTTTCTTCAAGTTCTTCGAACGCACTCGCGCGATCTCCTGTGTTAAGCGAATGATGGCAAAAACATCAAGCAACACCCTTGGCTTTGGTGATCTGAGAATTTAAAAGTAACGATAACAAGAGAAGATGGCAGATCAAACTGAAATTCTATCAACGATATGAAATATTTATGGGTAATCAAACTTAGACGATGTTGGGTTGGGAGGCACAAATCCAGATTCAAGAACTCTCGGACTTAATATCCTTAGGGGAGAAGGTTTGCTCCGCCGTTAACAAGGCCAAGTCCTTCAAAGGAGAATGCAGCGAGGTAGTGAAGATGGTGAATCAATTGTCTCAAATGATGAAGACTCTTCTTTGCTGCATCCGTTCAGCTCGAGCTCCACTTTACTTGCACCCACTTCGTTGCATACTGGCCAAGGTCAAGCGTCACTTTGAGCTCGCTCTCGCCGTCGTTCACAAATGCAAGCGGCGGAACTTGTTCTGGCGGCTCTTCGGCAGTGGAACCCAATTCAGGGAGCTCCGCAATCGTTTATATGCTTCTATTGAGGATATGAAATGGTTGCTTTCCATATACGTCGGAGGCCGCCGTGAATCGCCGTGCAAGGAGTCGCCGAGGTATCGGGTTTGGTCTTGCATTGCCGCCGTCAAAATGGAGCGTGAATTAGAAGATCGAATAAAGGCGGTGGATTCTCTGGCGTTTCTTGCTCGAGAAAAGACGAGTATAAGAACATTATTTATGAAGAAGGTGGTGTACCTCCTTTACAAAAGCTTTTGAAAGAACACATTTGTTTCGATGCTCAGATCAAGGTTGCCAACACACTTTGCCTTCTAGCTAACGAGAAGGGAAAGGAAGCTGTAATCATGAAGGAAATGGTCTCAACGATCTTAAACCGGTTATCGAGAACATCTCAGATTTGGGATCGAATCGAAGCAGCCGATTTGGTAGCCAGCATTGCAGAACATTATCCGGAAATGAAGGAATATCATTTAATCAGGGAGAACGTAATATGGAGACTGGTTTCATTGCTGTCATCTGCTAATGATCGTACGCCGAGTTCACTTAAGCTGCAGCTGAAACTCGGTTGTTCCAGGGCTTTGCTGATCCTTGTTCGAGAGAGCGTTCGGAATTGTTGGACGTTCGCCGAGACGAAAGGTATGCTGTGCTTGGCTAAGTTGTTGGGAACGGAAAAGAATGAATTGCAGTACAATTGCCTAATGATTATAAGGGAAATCACGGCCATTGCTGAATCAGATGATGATTTCAGACATTCCACTTTCAAGAGCTCTTCTCCGGCTTCGAATGTGATTGTTGATGAGCTATTGAGGGTAATCGAAGAATACGACATCACTAAACTGAGAATCCCGGCGATCGAATCCGTCGGTTCATTGGCGAGGTCTTTTTCAGTGAAAGAGAGCAGAGTAATTAGTCCGTTGGTGGTACTACTAGGCGATACAGATCGAGAAATTGCGATCAAAGCTTCCATCGCCTTGCAGAAGTTTGTTACCTCAACCAATCACCTTTGTTGCGAGCATTCGAAGTCGATAATCGAATTCAACGGCGTACCATTGTTAATGAAGCTAATACTTGATGACGGAGATAAAGAGTTACAGTCGCACGGATTAACTCTCCTTTGCCGCATTGCCATTGCCATAGGCAACGACGGCGAAAGCGATGTTCTGATCAATGCCGGAGCATTAAACGCTCTTCGGACGACCGGTCGGGCAGTTGCCGATGAAGATTCCGAATTAAAGGCATTGGTTTCCGAAGCAATATCGAAACTACAATCCAACAACACAGAGAAACACGAAGAATCGGATAATTCACCAGGAATTAAACAATGTATTGCAGAACAGAGTAAAGCGTTTTTCGAATTTATGCGACGTCAATCGAAGATATTGTTACAGGGTCTTATATACTTGCCGGAGATTGTGAATCTCCTGCAAAGATCATGTAAGAAGGGTATTTCAAGAGCAAAACGATCATTGAAGAAGAGGAGAATTCGGAGGCTTAAGAAATCAAAACGCGTGGAACTGAGTCCAACTCGAAGGCTGGTGATGGATTCATGGATGGAGGAGATTGAGGGGAAACTTACGGTGACGAAGAAAATTTTTAAATCGATGGAGAAGAAAGAGATCCGAAGAAGATTTGGATTTATCATACATAAAATCAGAAACGATTTCTAGTGAGTTATTTCAAATCCCCACGAGTTTGGATATTTTATGTTTAGGCCCAGAATTTAACAAGGGTTGGAGATGGGCCGAACAGGTTATATGGCCCGCTAACCTCCTTGTAAATCCGTACATGAATAAGAAAGCTGTAAAATGAAACTGCAAATATAAAGCCGTAAAATAGGAAATATCTCAAATTACAATAAATATTTACAATTAAGAACATAATTAGAAATTTTTTTATAATAACTGAAACAAAACTAACAACTTAATATCACAAAAGGGTCATACAAGGAAAGATTAAAAATCTAACAAAAAAACTCGAACAAAGATAGATACAAACAAATCTGATACAAACAAAAGGAGATCAAACCATCGAAAAATCGCAAATCAGACTTGAGCGACGTGAAAAGCTATCCACGAATGCAAATCGGGTATTCAAATCAACCCTTAGAAAAAAGATAAATGAAAAACGACCAAACAACAAAAAAATGTCAAAAAAATGTCAAAAAGAATAAGAAAACGTGTCATAAAGACAAATGAAAACGTGTCATACAAGCATACTTATTGAAAATAAAAAAACAAAAGACAATAGAGATACAATATAAAAAAAGGACAATAAAAAATATCGACGACCGGTAACCAACACTAAAATTGGTGCCATCGATCAACAAAGACGAAAAGAAAATTTATTTAGTTACGAGTGATGGTGGTGGTGAAATTTAATGCTTATCATATAAATCGGTACATGGAGTTATTAATTTTCATTAAAATGCGTATATGACCATTCTTTTATCTCAAATTAGTGTACCAATTTTTTAAATTTCTTAAATTGGTAATTAATTTTTAATGTGATATTTCAATAACTAATCAGATTATGACATGTATTATTTAATGGTCTCAACATTCAAATCACACCGGTAACCCAATTGGTTGTTGAAGTAATATGCCGTCATAGGGGCCAATTTGAGAATTTGGAAAAACTCAAGAACCACTTTGAAAAATTTACAAACTTCAAGTACCAATTCGTAGAGTAAACAAAATCCAAAATGGAGTCACCCGGTTCGGTTAATCAGGCATCAGTCATCACCCAAATTTTCAAACCTCTAGAACTAGTTTGAATCTTTGGCCTTCGAAAAGATGCGGAGTAACCCAATTGGTTGTTGAAGTAATATATTTTAATTTTTTAAAATTTTATAAGTTTAAGTCAACTTTTAAAATTTTATAAATTTAAATTTTATTTTTGTAACATTAAATATTACGTCCGTTCCTATTCATCATTAACATAAAGTCGGCTAGTCAACTTCAATTACATATACTAAAACATTACTTTATACAATGCTTAATCTGAATAATTATTTATTAATATGCATTAATAATTTCGGCCCCCCAGTGTGAAATGTAAATCACCAAAACTCCCATGCATCGATTGACCGAGAACGTGATCGGTTGTGTAAAATGATTTGCTGCAGCTATCTCGGTCATGAACCACCGTGTTACCACCCGCAGTCGAACCGAGACCGAAATGCTCGAGCACAGCAGCCGTCTTTTGTTCACCACCGCCGACATCATTAGTGTCACCGGTAACAATGGCACCGAACTGCTTTTGTTCTCTCTTCGCTTGAACATTTTTGCACCTACTTGCTGCTCTCTTCAATTCGACCTTGTAATGCAACGAACTCAACTTATCTTCCTCCTTGTGAAATGTGGTCGCCGGCGTTCAAGCCGTTTCCGAGAACAAAGCGCCTCCAAATTACCTATTTGGTCATCAACTAATTATTGAGTTTCTGTTTTGTTTTTTTCCCAAATTATACTCAACGTTATGTTTTGATTTTACTTTGGTCGTCCACCGTTAAATAATTAATGGTGATGTTGATGTGATATTATCTTATGGTAATACATCAATATTATCGATAATTTTTAAAATATGAATTACTAAAATGTAGCATTATATATGATTTTGATGAAAATAAAAATTAAATGATCAAAACAAAAATATATTATCGATAATTGTTGATGTGATAGTTTGGACCCCTTATTGTGAGCCTATGTAACTAGGCCTCCATTATAATTCAAAAAAGAAAAAAGAATGTCGACTACATGACTTAGGTTACATAGTTTTTATGTTTGCCAACTTAATGGATGGACTCATATGGTTTGCCTAGGATTTGAAACCATTACTGCTGATTTTAGCTCAAGTTTCTTAATCACACTTTTTCCCTAGCCCTATAACACCTTGGCACTTAGAAACTTGTTTATATGTCATTGTTTCTTTATTTTCGGTACTAAATTATTTTAGTGTAAATTACGTGTTTAATATCTAAACTAGCAAATTTGATATGTTTTAATATCTGATTAATTTTTCAAAATCATACCTAGCATTTAGTTTTTATTTTATTTTAGTACTGCGCCATGAAAAAGTTAACGAACTGGCTTGTCGATCGTCGTGTCTACAGTTTTAAGCCATGCATCTGTCGGTCGAAGAACCCCAAACTTTTCAGCCAGTAACTTTCGACCCCTTGAACTTGATTTCTACCTCCGTTTCGTCGGAAAATGCCTCAATCTCCCTAGATCATCGATGGGCTCTTCGACTTTTTCATCTTCCGATCTTCTTTGTCGACTGTCCGATGAGCCTGTAACTGAACTATGTTGATCAACTCGTTATTATCTCGTGGTCTACCGTTTGGATTGGTTGTCCATACACTGGAGTTATACCACGTCAACCCGTCTGTTAAGCTTTTAACAAGTACTAAAATGAAACAAAAACTAAACGTTAGGTATCATTTTGAAAAAGTTAAAAGTTCATGTAGTAAAATTGATCAAAACTAATAGTTTAAGTACTAAACGCGTAGTTTGCCCATCATTTTATTATTACTCAGCTAGACGAACAGGCAAGGGGTCATCAAAGACTTCAAACAAATCTTCAAGTACAGGGCTTAATTTCATGTATAGTTCCTCGAGGTTCATCTCACATCTTGTTGCTTCCATTGATTTAGATTCTAGACAAAATTTCGGCTAATTCTATATTTTCTCCCAACTAATTCATAGTTAAAATATCAAGCAAAAGCTGCTCTCTTTATAAGGTAGTGATGGGAAGGAAGCATGAATCTTAAGAGGTTATATGGTTGTAATGAAATTACCTTCTCTATGTTTTCTTCAGCGAATTACAAATTTGGTCATTTGACTGTTAAATAGTTAACGACATTAAAATCAGCAGTTATATAAACACAAAATGGTGTCATTTTGGTATTTTTTTAAAAACAATGTAGGTTTTAACGGCGTTAATTATTTAACAACGAAGTGACCAAAATAGGAGAGAGAATAAAGTTCAGTGAACAAAAAAATCAATGAATTAAAATCATTTGAGGAAATTGAAATTTTTTAAAGTTCAATGATCAAAATAGGAGAGATAGTAAAGTTCAATGATAAAATTTGTAATTTACTCATAAATAAATTAGTTAGAAATGAACTTTGAAAGTTGAGGACGAGGACAAGATTTATTATTATTTTGAATAATCAAAAATTGTTTGTATTTTGAATAGATATAAAGATTTATTATTATTTTAAAATATATATATATATTAAGATTATATTTTCATTTATTAATTAAAATAGAGAAAATAACCTCAGTGACAAAAAATATCTTATAATATACGATTTTAACCAACTTTTTTTGGATTTGCCAAAATGACCAACTAAATCGTAATGCGATCGATAATTCGCAACGCGATCTCCGGTATCGCAAATCAGTTTCCAAATTCGCAACGCGATTCTGACTATCGCATTGTGATTTTCCAAATTCGCGTTGCGATTTTCCGAATTCGCAATGCGATAGTCCAAAATCGCATTGCGATAGCACTGTTCACCGTTGCGATAGCACTGTTCACCGTTGTGATAGCACTGTTCACCGTTACGGTAGCACTGTTCACCGTTACGGTAGCACTGTTCACATTGCGAATTTACGATATTACTGTTGTTTTCTGTCCAGAATGATGCAAAAAAGCTTCAAACTTTGGATTTTTTTGTTTGAATTCTCTTTAATGGTGTATGGATTTATTTAAGTTTAATTTTGTTTAAGAATGGATTTTTTTGTTGCGATAGTACTGTTCACAAGATCTGGATCCAAGTGCATTTTCTTTTTCTAATATTATTCTAATAGGTCTAGTTCTTAATTAACAGATGCTGATGCATTTAAGACTCATTTAATCTTTTTTTTTCACACAGTAAATTTTTTTCCAGTATGTCAGTGAAACATCTCTAGAACCAAAACTGATGCATTATTTTAGAGAGACAGTGATAGCTCATCAATCAATACCAGGCAAATACTAAACCATGGAATGTTTTAGCTTCAAACCCAACAGCAAATTGGTCAATGGAAAATTCATATGGCCAACCATGTGTTGGTCTCCCTGTACAGTTTTCAGCTTCATTATAAACAATGCTCACTATCATCATAATCATCACAAACAAAACATTACTCGATAATTAAAAATCTTTAAGATAGAATGATAAACAATGCTCATAGATAACAATCAACTTCATTCACGATTTGATCCTTCAACTATATTTATTTTCAGGTAAACTACCTTCAAGATCATTATTAATTAGTTTTCTTCTTATTTTGATCACTATCTCAATGGTAAACAGTGCTATCGCAACGGTAAATAGTGTTATCGCAACGATGAACAGTGCTATCGCAACGGTGAACAGTGCTATCACAATGCGATTTTGGACTATCGCATTGCGAATTTGGAAAATCGCAATGCGATAGTCAGAATCGCGTTGCAAATCTGGAAACTGATTTGCGATACCGGAGATCGCATTGCGAATTATCGATCGCATTGCGATTTAGTTGGTCATTTTGGCAAATCCAAAAAAATTGGTTAAAATCGTATATTATAAGATATTTTTGATCACTGAAGTTATTTTCTCAATTAAATATTGTGATAACTTATTATTTTAGCTTAATTCTAATTTTATAGATCATACAATAAAATTTTTTTTAAGTTTTGTACCTATAACAGGTACACTTTCGCTTAATTGACGTCCAAATCTGCTATTTTTTAAAAAATAAATTATATTTTTATTCATTAAAAAATAATGTAAAGTACATCAAAAGTAATATAACCTAAATGAAATTTTTGAAGGGAAAAATAAAAATAAAAAATCTTTCCTTGAATACATGTTTCATTTTATGTAAAAATCTAACAACTATCAATAATTTATAAGTTTATAGTCGAACTTAGACATAATTTGATGTAGACATAGAGATTGAGATAATTAATCTGACAGATTATTCTACGAATAATTCTAAATACATCAACAAATTGTCATAAAATAAGATCTAACTATAAAATGCAGTTAATACTTTTAACTTTTAGAGCCACTTTTCTTTTATTATTCCGTACATGATATTTAAAAAAATATTTTCTCTCAAAAATAAAATAAAAAATATATATTTTTGTTTGAAATTAAAAAACAATGTCAGAGTTTCGAATATTGATATTTACGAATGAAGTAAATTAGGTTGGAGGGTCGTCCTTCTGCAGTACCCGATTTAGATTAGTGATCATATATAAGTTATTAATTAAAAAAAATGAAACTTTGAACCGTCGCCGTCGACGTTTAGACAAAGGCAGGGCAGAATCGTGATGAATTTATTTAAGTATACATTTCACAAATGCAAGACACCCTCGGAATATATTACACATGCACTGCTAAAACAAAACAAAGCCATGCTTTCGCTCCATATAAACGATGATAAAACATGATATAGAAACAGAAGAGCAAAATAAAACACTTTGAGATCAATCGAGATTTAAAGAAAATAATAATTATAATCATTAAAAATTCAGCATCATGAGGCATAAAGAGGATTGTGAAGAGTTGTAGGCGACCCTTTCTTCTTGAAAATCCAATCACCAACCAGAGGAACAATGGGCTTCTTCTTCATCAACTTCCTCTCTCTTTTCCCCGCAAAATACCCTTCTTTTTCACCTATACTCAGTATCTGAGACAGCGTCGGGTTGTTCTCAATTCGCTTCATCAACTCCTTTCTTCTCTCTTCCTCCCTCGCTATATCTTCTCCCTTCCCCATCTCCAAACTCGCCGTCCTCCGCATCGGCGTCGGCGTCGTCTCCGCCGCCTTCTTAGCCGCAGCAGCCTCGGCTATGGCCAACTTCGACATGTTCTTGTGGAGTTCAGCGTTCAATAAAGCCAACGCAACCTCCGTTTCGGATTCTCTTTCCTTGAGCAGCTTCAGCTCCACCTTTGTTTCCTCGAGCTCGGTCTCCAGCTTCTTTAAGGTGTCGAGAACCTCTCGTTGATCATCTTGTTTACGGCTCATTGGAGTACTACCGGGTGAAAACCAGGCGATCTCTTGGCTTGGAGGGCGACTGTAAGTGTAAGGCTTCGGAGTGTATATCTCTCCGACGAGAAACCGCTCGCCGAAGACGGCGACGGCTTCTTTGACGGTGCGAAAAGGGCGGGAAGTGTCGACGTTGGAACGGTAGTCTTTTGGTGGCTTCGTAGCCGCCGGAACTGGGACTTGGGTTTCCATGGAAAAAAGGTAGAGATCAAATGAGAAGAATTGTATGTGTTTTCGCCTGTAGATTATGGAGAAGGAGAGGATGTATTTGATAATGAGTCTGAGATTTCTTTGCTTTTACTGCAAATGATTGGAGAGAGAGAGAGATTGTTGTTTGAAAGTTAAGCCTCGGAGGCAGGGGAAGTGGACTGCTTAACTACTGGGTCAATGAATGAATGGGTATAATTCTGATTTTAGTTTCCATAATTTTATCTTTTAATTTTTATAATATTTTTAGTACGTATTGTCACGGACCGCTCTTTTGGATCCGAGACTTCGGCACAAACATCCGGAAAGAGGGTTCTGTGCGTGTAAATTTGGGTTTATAACAGGCCAAGCTTAATTGACCCGGTTCTTGGAAATGCTTATGAGTCCGTGAAAGGGATCAAGTCTGAGAGCATTCGAGAGAAACGATGAGGGCTTTACAATATTCGATGGGGGCACATTTGTCAAGGGTCGTGGATTCGGACGGAAACATGTGCACAGATTTGGCCTGCCCAGAACCATCAGACTTGGCCTACTCCTTGAAAGATTCCAGAAGTTTCCATAATGGATAGAATTATCTCTTGATTTAGGAATTTAATTAAGGAGATGATGTTGGATTTGAATTTGGAAAAATTTTGTTAGATTTCAATTCAATCCAAGTCATCGATGTACTTTGATCTATACCATTGGTTTTTGAGAGTCTCAACTATAAATAGAGAGTTGATTCACTCATTTGTAATCATCCATCATAAATATTCCTCTCAGAGTAATACAACTCAGACATTTATTCTTGAAATTATCTTGTTTCCTTTGTTGCCTTTGTTTCTAACATTCTAACCTTGATGGCTTTGTTACTTAAGCTATTTAGCTTGTTCTTTTTGTGCTTAAGCCTTTGTGGCTTGTGTTGCCGATCGTGAAAGCTAAGATAGCCTCGAGAGTATTACTTGCTCGCAGTTCTTTCATGGTTCCCAAAGTGGCTAAGCCTTTGTGACTTGGAAAGGTTCGATAGTGCTTGCGTAACTTAGACTTATTCTTGGTAGCTTGGATTAGCCTTATTGTTGTTAGCTTTCGCATCGTTGTTCTAACCCTAAAAGGTTAGTTTATCGCTTGGTGAGCCAGAGTCTCACCAGGACGTGGTAAAGGCTGACTTATGAACTATTTCGACTTTGAAATTGCCTAAGTGGCGCACAAATCAACTAGCATGAGTCTAGTCCCGTGACAATATGAATTAATAATATCTTCAAAATATTAATAATTTATATTTTTTTAATTCATAAAAAACAAAAATTAATCACTATTTCTATAAAAATATCAAAGGGTGTTACGATAAATTAAGTAGATATAGGTAATTATACCAATAAATGTAAAAGTAATAATTCTTCAATTTTAACATGATAGAGGGACTAAAAGCATTATTAAACCTTATAATGGCATTACGTGCGGAATATCAGGGAGACATAATTATAGGGCTTTCCCAATCAAACAGCTGCTTAATTTTAGGTGCTTGTAACTTTTCTAATAATTACTGGGTAATCATTGTTTTGAGTCACATCTGGAACAGGACAACACTACACGAAACTCGGAATTTAATACAAAAGTGAGATTCATTGTTGTCTGTTTCAGAACAACTAGATTGATTTAAGTACCCTACAAGTGTTTAATAATTCATTACGATATCAAAAAATATATTTAAACAAATAAATACATATAAAAAAATTGTATTCGAGTATTTCTTGATGTAAAATTATTAATGATAATGTCAACATTAATGTTTTTCGTCGTATTTTTCTCAATACATGACATATTATTTAGAAATAAAAGAATAATTTTATCTAGAAATTAGAAATATATAAAAATCAAAAGAAATAATTTAGAAATGTGATCTTACCAAGAATTTTAAGAATAATCTTTAATATGATTCAATCACTACAATTGATGATAAACAATTATGACTTTGCACTTGTGAGATATATGAGAAATTAAAAAGTGTGTGAAAATTTTCATATGAATTGTGAATGGAAGAGAATAGCAGGCTATTATACTTAAATGGACTTACATGGATTTAAGGAGGACTTGCATAGATTTAAGGAGAACTTACATGGACTTTCTGTTAGAACCAAGGGCAGTGAGGATGAGAATTCTCTAAGCACGTGCCAACCATCACAAGCAGATTGGATTCGACAATATATGGAGCAACAGGAGGAGGTAAGGGAACAGAGTGCAGTGCTACTGATGTTGTATTCTGTTGCTGTCTCTGCTGTTTTGGTTTAGGGTTTACAAGCAGATTTGTTACTATGACGGTCTAATTTCATTCTTTATGAAGTCTTTCTCTCACTATCTCTCTACATATATTAATAGGTTTCTGGGCCAAGGCCGTATGATGTTATTGCAAAAGAATACCATGCAGCACGATTGGACGCGACAAAGGCCAAGGAAAATAGGGATAAAAAGGGCCAGGAAAAGGCAGGCAGTGTAATCCGCAAACCCAAGCAAGAGTTATCTGCCTTAGGTGATTTGTGGTTCTTTTTATTGTTTATGTTAAAGGATTTGTCTCTTGATTTATTTGTAATGAGTTGTTTAATTTTACTGATCAGGATTATCAGATGATATCTTAGCATCAGAATTTTTGCATGAACGAGCATCTGGTTGTGTGTCTGAGTCCACAGCCACTAGTTCCATGCCTGAAGAGCAGTCTGAGATAACATCTTTTGGGCATGAAGAAGACAATTCTGCAGCCTCTGTTATAACTTTAGGTGACACTACAGGCACTGTAAATGAGACAGAGACCTCTAAAGAGTCTTCTACCGAATCTGTTCCTTCTTTATTGCCTGATCAAGAAAAAGGTGACTCCGAAAATATGTCAGAAGATGTGGAGATCGGTGATTTCTTCTTAGAACATTCTCCAATTAATGATGCTGTTGATTCTGAAGTACTAAAATTGCAGAAGAACGAAAAGATGAAAGAACTATACAATGAGAAAAATTTGTAGAAATTGGATGGAATCTGGAAGAAGGTAATGCCCAAAATTCAATGATCTTGTGAGGTTAATATTACTGATGATTGGTGATAAGGTATTAAGCATGTATCTCCTTTAACTTGACATCTATGACTGTGAACAATGAACACGCAGGACAATGATTTTAAAACTGAGTGCCTTATCAATCTCCTTAACTTTAAATGTTTGACTTTGGCCTTGTTCTATCCGAATTCATTCTCACTTATGCAGGATATGATCTAAATAATGACAGGGAGAACCAAAAAGGATTCCCAAGGCTGTTCTTCATCAATTATGTCAAAGATCAGGGTGGGAGGCGCCAAAATTTGATAAAATACCTGCCAAAGGTAAAAGTTTTGCTTATTCTGTTAGTGTGTTACGTAAAGCTAGCGGGAGGGGCAAGAGCAGAAAAGCAGGGGGGCTAATCACCCTTCAGCTTCCTAATGAGCAAGAAGTTTTTGTATCTGCTGAGGTACTTGTTTGTCCTTATGCTTCATGATATACTGTGATTGAACAATATACACTACAACAACCTAAAAAAACATGAGTGAGAAAGGCAAAGGCGTAGAGAGAGAAAAGTTGAAAGGCCAATTCTTCTCCGGTGAGGAATGGACAGCTTTGGTCGATAATCTGAGAAGAGAATTTCACGAGGGGCGCTAAGGGAACTGTTCCTTTTTCAGGGACCTTTCAGGGTCCTGTAGTGAGAGTCTTCATCCCAAGAGAAACGAAGAATCCTAGATACAAATCATCCACTTTTGCCTTTGTGCAATTCGACAATGAGGCAGGTTTGAGGAAAGCTATCGAGAATGTGAATGGATCGCTCATTGATGGGAGGAAAGTTTCAGTAGGAGTTGCAAAATATCGAAATGAAAGATTAAGGATAGTGAGGACAAAACGAAGTATGAATGTTGCTTGGTTGGAGTTAGAAGAAAGATCTAAGTTAAAAGAGAAAGTTGAGTTGTCGAAGAGTATTAGGGATGACAGGTCCTACAAAGATGTTCTGCTGACAGACAGAACGCAGAGGAATGATTTGGAGTACAAGGAGAAAAGGAATGACAGTATAAACAAGGTTACAGGGATAAGGAATGTATGGGAGATGCATATCCCTTCTGAAAATTCAAGCTGGGTGAAAAAAGATCATTAACGGGGATTGTCAAACATTCTTTCGAGCTGGAGTTGGTGTAGAAGTCTCTGTCCAATGAGGGTTATGAAGTTCATATTGCAAGTTCTATGTCTGGAATTCTTGCATTGTTACTTTTAAAACGATCGAAGAGATGTTGGAGGCATGGTTGAAGAAGAAAGAGGAGTTATGGTTCTGGTTTGATCGGCTGACATCTTTGCTGAATGAAGACGGAGTTCCTATGGCTTACTACCAGGTAGAGCTTTATGGTGTCCCTCTTTTATGCTGGGATGATTCCTTTCTGGTAAGACTAACTGGGAGATGGTGGACTGCATTGAGGAATCGACTCGAAAAAGGAAGGACTGTCGAAGGAGAGCATTCTGATCAGGGTGGCAAGTCCGTTCGACGTTCCGGAGGTGATCAGTTTAGGGTCGTATTGCATGTCATTCAAGGTACGTACAAAACTGGGGTCGGTGTCGGATTTTTCGAGTTTTTTTCAAAGTCAATCGACGGAGAAAGTTTCCGATGAGAGAGTCATTGAGTAAGCTTCGTCGGAAGAGGATGTTGTCAGTCGAAAGTCAGTTGATGTTGTCAGTGCTGGAAAGTCAATTGAGAGTAGAGGGCATAAGGTTGTCATGTGGATTGAGCAGGGGGTTCGGTCGTTTCAATAGAGTTTACATCGAGAAAAATTTGGCATCACAAGGAGCAGCACATGGCCTCAGTGTTATGTTCGAATATTTTCTTAGGTTAAATTATAGTTTTGGTCCTTCTATTATATACAAATTTAGAATTTAATCCATATACTAATTTTTCATATTATCATTCATTCATCCAGAGAGTTTTTTTTTTCTATAATTCATCCAAAGAGTAACAATAGTAAGCACTGATGTTAAAATGCTAAATGTGATATATAAATATTTTCACATAATTAATAAATAAAGTTTTGTAATGCTAATAATATTAAATTAATAAGATCCACATCAATAATCTTTTTAAATTGAACTCAAATCATATCTCTAATATCAGTTGTTAAAATTTAAATGATTAACTCGTACAAGTCATCGAGAAGAGGGTAAAAACACCCTGAAAGAAGCTGCTACATTTGCATTAACAAAACTGTTACTTGGTTTGTAAGTTTGTACTTCATTCAGAACCGTCATCGTCTCCTTGCATGTGTGAAGACCGTGCAAGGCAATCCGGGAACTTGAAAGGAAGAGTCATCAGTGGCTCGTCGTCGCATAAGTTCTGGCAAGCCAAACCTAAAGCGTATCCCAATGCGGTTGCTACCGGAAAAGCAACAGCGTTTCCGACCTGTATGTACCTGGTAAACAGCAAGAGAAAAGTGTGCTTTGTAATTGGACTACGCTATGATTCTTTACATGTCTTGAGTATCGCTAATAAAATCCACATCAATAAATTCATTTATGACTAAACAACATTTGACTTAAAATTGGATTGAAATTTTATGTACAGAGTCAACAAACCTCTCTTTAATAGTCCCAAAAAGTTTGTAGCAGTCCGGGAATCCTTGTAATCTTGCATTCTCACGGATTGTAAGCACCCTATCTTGGGAAGGATGGATGACCGTCTGCCAAAAAGGTTTGCTTTTTAAGTGAAAAATACAATATATTTAAATAACACAAATAAGATAATCGGGTAAGGTCAAATTTTTTACCCACCCAAAGATTAAACCCTTCCATTCACGCCATATCTAATCCGAGGTTCCTTATTTTTATTAGATAAAGTAATGACTTAATTGCAATGATCTTTTAGTTTAGATATTTTTTCATCTTAAACTCAGACACGACCAGTCACGCCCAAAAACCATCAGGTTCAGGGAAATGACCATCCCTACCCATAAACATCCTTAATCCTTGCAATCCAATACCTAAAAAGAGAAGGGGAAAAGGAACCTGTTTGTGAGGTTCAGCTCTTGTTACCACTGTGTTGACAATTTCGTCCATCCACAAACGACCGAATGGCCTAAATTCCAGTCATCATATAAAGTTGTGCAAAAACATTGTAGCAAAATCAAAATTTGTCAATAATAGTTAAGCCATGCTTACTTGGTTGATCTCCCTTTGACAAATTTCATGGCATAATCTGGCACCTGTAAACATTTAGCTTAAAAAACTTGAACGAAAACAATTTAATAAACAAGAGCTGACTGGTTGTAGACAACAAAATACCAATGGTTTTCCAGATTTGAGCAACACTCTGTCCATTGTTGTGTCCCACTCCACCTTCTTGTTTTCACCAACTAATACACCAGGTAAGTCCCTGAAATTTGCACCCTGGAAAAATAAAATATTAGCTATTGAGAAAGAGAAATATGTCGATCCAAGAATATCAATCAAGTGAACTGAACATACTTTCTTCTTTGGAATCTGGCAAACACGTTCCAAGTCATCAGCATTCAATTGCAAAGGTTGATGATCATAAAGCATTCCAGAAGATGGTACATGTCGAGAATCAACCGTTAAATATGTTACACCTGCACATTACAAAACGTAGTTGTAAAATATTATAAAGCACATAAAGACCAAGTTCATTTAAGTGATGATACATTTTTGGGTAAACTACGTATTTAGTCTCAAGATTCCATTTCGATCATTCAACTATTTATTTCAAAATCATATCTGACGTTATATTTTGGTTCCGTTTTAGACACCCATCATTAAAAAGTTAATGGTAATTTTGATGAGTCATCATAAGGTAATGTCTTGTCATCATTGAAAAATTAAAAAATTGTCACATCAGCAATTTAGTTAATTTTTTTATCAGCAGGTGACCAAAACAGTCACAAAAATAGTTGACTGACTAAATAAGTAGTTTATCCTTCATTTTTACATGTATAAGATCTAATCCAATAATCATGAGCCTTTGATTGCAAACACTGATTATCATACAGAATTTCAAGAATGATACATAGAAAATATAACTAAATTTATTACATACAAACAGAAAAGGTTGGTTTTAAGATATCCCAAAACACATGAACACAACAAGTAATGCAAGGAAACGTACCTTTCCTCGGCAATCTAATAAATTTTTGAAATTCTGTTCGAGCTTTTGTCTCATAGTTCCTCTGGTCTTGACTCTCATCATTATAAACCTATAACAATATAAGAAGCTAAACAACATATTCCAAAGTCTACTAAATTACACATTAAAAAAGTACAAAAACAGAAACATACTTGTGGAAGATCAGAAATTGCATCACCAAGAGTGAGAGCGGCTTTCAACTGAAAAGTATCCTTTTTGTCATATGCAACGTGTATTTCCTAGTATCAAAATAAATAGATTCAACGTAGAACCAAAAAAGTATCTAGTAACAATTAGGGTTGCAAATGAGACGAGACATATCGCAAGCAACTCAAGTTCAATTTAGTCAACTCGAATTCTTAACAAACCAAAGCGAACTACTTGATACCTAACTCAAAAAGCTCGCAAGCAACTCGAAAAAAAATAATATATTGAATTTTTTATTTTTTAAACAATAAAAAACATAACAATTTAAGTTTAGTAGCATACATACCTCAAACTCATTTGGAACAGCTCCTCTAGAAAAAACCTCATGAGTTGGCAATGGATATGGAGGCAATTTCTAAAGTGGAAAAGGGAAAAGGTAAAGTTTTAAACAATTATCTTATGATTTCATCATACTACACAACTTTAATTATACTTGCCTCTGAAGGATGTGAACCCCACAGAAAAACCCTCATTCTAAATTGTGGAACACCATAATTTCCAGCAGCCATCATCCCCATTCTAGCCTGATAATTCATGGAAACTAAACGGCCAACAGCATACCGTCCCAAAAAGCCCTTAGCGAACTTTAATATGTCCACGACATTTTCCATTAGTACATATCTCGGTTTCAAATGCTCTATAGTATCCATATATACAATTAACTGCTTATTTTTTTCATCTTCCAATGGTGCATTTGAGTTTCTAAAACGATTAAACCCACTAACGCCTTGACATGGAGGCCCTCCACATATAAAATAAACACTTCCCTGCAAGAACGAATGAAATAAAATAGAAAATGTTATCTTCCATATGCAGCACTAATTTAATAAGTTCATATAATCAAAAGAGAGAAAAAAAAAACCTTACAGGCAAAGGCAGTATGTTTGATTTGTGACCTTTTCTCACAAATTCTTCCAGCCTATCTTGACAATTACTGAAAATAAAAAGAGCATTAAGTAAATTACTATACAAGGTAAGAGAGTTCTCATGGATGTAAATGAGCTAAAATAGATTACCTCAAGCCCTCAACAGGCTCCCAAGTATCATAACTTTTATCATAACCCTTCCAACGTACCTATATATGAGATAAAAACTTGAATAACATTTGAATCCAAGAGATAAGTTTACTTGCAATTACTAGTTAGTGCATATAATTTTACCGAAATGCACCACTGATATGATAAAAAAAAGATAAAATATGGCAACAAACTACCATAACTGGTTGTAAATCTTCATTCTTGGAGGTTTGAATAATAATAATGATACCTTGAAATATATTCCTCGCTTTCTCATTTTATTAGGATCGCCAAAACAAATGTCCAACAATCTCTCAACCTCAAAATCTTCAGAATCCTCAGAGCCACTATCATCTTGTCCCTCCTTTTCTTCTTCTTCACATGCTTGGTCATCATCATCCACTTCCTCAACAACTTCACTAGAATCTTCCAATGATTTGTTTGGATCAAGCAAGGAGAACTGTTGGCATAACTTTTCCCACTCTTTCAGCAAACACAAAAAATCCTCTGCTGCCTCATTTCTCACCTAATAGTCATCATAGGAAATAATAGTCAATACTAAATAGCTGAAATGTATTAATAGTCATCTAACAATAAATGGTTTACCTTAGTTTCAGGATGGTTCCACTGCAAACTTTTACAAGCAAAAGAATTTATGTCAACAGCCCACCTCTACAGTACAAAAAATTAGGAAAACAATCTCAATCAACCAAAAATGAAAAAAAAAAAGTAATAAATAAACAAAAATTGTATTGTAAAAGTTATGGAACCATTATGAACTCACTGTGACAAGCTTTATGCCAGCTATGGAGGCCCCCATGCAAAGGCCAGTGGACATAGCCCCACAACCAGAATAAAGATCCAGCAAATATTTCTGCGACTTATCAAACTTCTGAGCTTCTGAGATAGTATTGTTTGAACCACATTCATTTGAATCACTTTCACTGGAAACTACTGAAGATGTACCACTATTATTTTTAGAAATCTCTGCAATTATAATATGAAAATGTTAATGAAACAAATAAATCAAATACATAGAAAAATGCAACAAAACCAATGAGAGAACTAAAAGATACACATTAATAGCTAACTTGTTAGCTTTTCCTTCACTGTAAATGGAAATAATCTCCAAAATCAGTAAAAGGATGACACATTACCAGTGAATATGTTTTTGAATGTTAAGTGCTGTAACGAGTACTTCATATTGCAATATAAACCCGATTCAGGGATTTTTCCCTCCTCAGCAGCTAAGTCAATCTGAGATAAGAAATTAAAAAAAAAGTTCAAGCTTGTATAAGAAAAACATAAGGAACAATGGCATGCTACATGTGTCAGCCTTACATCGGGTGCAACTTCAGCAATTTCTACTTTGGAAACAATGCAGTTCAAAGGATTGTCATCTTGGATATCAGAGAGAAACACACGTCTCTTATAGATCAAATGTGCATTTTCCTTGTTGATAACCTAAAATTTCCAAAATAAATTGAACAATGAGTGCTCTTAAGGAAAACCGGACAAACAAGATCAATATAATGCTTATCAAAACCACCAAGTTTCATATAAATAGTTCTCACGGTATCTTCAGCTCTATAAAACCATTGAGCTTTGAAGTACGGCTCCCCGTAAATTGTTTCAAAGAATTCAACAATTCTGGCAATATAATCAGGACTGCCATCCTCTGCCTACAGGCAAATGATCATTCAAAATTATCAATTTAATCAGAAAAGAGAATGTCATACATCATTTTAACACATAAAACCATACCTTAACATATGCATTATCTCCCAATTTGTAGAGACAACCATCAACCATAGCCTCTGTATGATGATTCCTTGCTTGTAGTACCTCATCCCCCTCGCTTATAATTGGGAAAGAAGAAAAAAACAAAACTCAACAACATTGATAAGCATCAACAGTACAAATATACAAAACTCTTACCCATTAATAAGCATTAGTAATCATCGAAACGTTGTACCCATTACTCAATATAAATAAGACTTAATTAAAAAAAATACATCAACCACTCAAAATATCAATAAAATTTAATTAAAAATCATATTTTGAGTGATCGGCGTGTTTTATTAAAGGATGAGACTGACTAAAAATACTTTAGACAACTAAAATGTAAAGGCTTAATACAAAAATAAGAGACTGAACTAAACTCAAAGTTGACTTTTGGTGACTAAAGAATTTTTTTATTAAAAATAAATGTCTAATGTTTTATAGATTACACTTTTAGGCGCCTAATTTTTTGTTAACAGCTTGTACCTAAAAGTTTGAGTGAGAAAACATTATGCACTTATTTTAAATCTTTAGGCAATTGAGTACGGTTTAGTAACTTATTTTTATATTAAGCCAAATATAAAATATGTATAATCGATAAATGAAGCAATGTGCTTCTTTATTGTTCACAAGTAAATGAACTTACTCATTTGAAGTCTCAGTTACAGCCTGCTTCTTAACCTTATTCTGTAAACAACAAATGAAAAACCGAGTATAAAGCCGAGTCCAAAGAAAATTAGAAGGAAAAAAATACAAAATGCAGGCTCTTTTTTGCCATATGTTGCTTGCTAACCTTTGACTGATATCTCTGCGGCCATCGTTCTCGGGCTTTATCAGCGGCAATGGGCGGACCGACGAGACAAAGGTCGGAATCGGCTACAACTTTTCGGGCTTTTTTCGATTTGGTAGGGTCCAACAAAGTAGTCACACCTTGGTCTCGGGTTTCGGGTTCCGAATCGACAGATTCATCGGACTTATTTTGACGCTTTCGTTCAGAACCCTTCCCCATTTCCGAAACAGTCCCCGATACTAGACAGAGAGAGACACAAAACAGAGAGAGGGGTGAAGGATTCTCTCTCTGTTTTACTGTTTGGATAGAGAGAAAATATGGAATATAGACGTTTGAAACTTGCGAGTTGCCAGTGTGGGAGCAATAAGTAGTGGGAGAACACTTTTTAAAAGGAAGTTTGTTTTTTTAGGGAAAGTTTGATTTTTTATTTTAACTTTTAGACTCGGGCGGGAACCGGCAAATTTTGGTTCCAACCCATTATTTTAGTCCTGATATTTTGGGAGATTTCGTTTTAAGGACACGACTTTTCTTTAGGAGGGTCACGGACCAACTGTCATTTGACACTTCGTACATCAGGGGAAAATTTAAGGATAAATAGCGGAATGGTCACTTATCTTTTATATTTGTACATTGTTACTCACAAATTCATAAAAGTTAAGTTTTAATTATTTGCGTTATTGTTTTATGAAGTCTTTTTCGATTGAGACGTTGAATATTGTTAGTTTGATAATAAAATATGTTAGTAAAAGGGTTTAATTTTTATTTTAACCCTAAAAATTAGATAATATATTCATTGTATGTCTTTTTATAAATCTAAAGTAATTCATGGACAAATTTTGAATCGTAAATTTGATTGAGTTTGTTCAACTAAACGATCTAAAAGTAAAACAATAACATCTTTTATTTAAGAGTGTGTTGTAATCTAATTTTTATATTAAAACGATCCTTAAATTTTTAAATATTTAAAGTATATCTTTAAACTATGACTATTTTTTAATTACTTACTTTGAGTTTTTTAAATATGTAGTAAATACAAGTTAGTATTATTTAGTGACTTTCAATCATTTTATAATGAACGTTCATATTCATACATAAATCATACTCGTACTCGAAATTTCAAGGATAATAACAAATATATTAATCACTTAATTCGTGCTACTTAATTTACGTTTGAATGATAAATTTTGAAGAGCAACGTTTTTTATATTTTTAAATTCCGATATTAAATTATTTATTCGAACGAAAATAATAAAAACTAATTACTTAAAGTAATGTATTTTGTATGGAACACGAGCCACAAAAGCAATAAGAAAAATAGATACAAGAACAAGGAGAGAAATTTGTATTATTAACTCAATATAATTTGTGCATAATATTTTATTTAAATTCTGTATTTACAGGTATAAATAATAGGTATCATATAGAATTTTAATCCTAATAAATATAAAATCCTAATAATAAAGTACATCAAAGTAGTAAACAACTTGATATCGTTTAAGTAAAATCTCATGTTCGAGTCTTTATACATGCAAAAAATCTCCGTTGGGAGGTCAATCCATAATAGTTAGGGCAAAGCCTTTGAACGAGTGGACAACAAAAAAATACATTAAAGTCATATATTTAATGTACATTATTCTAAGGTTTAAGTATACAAAATGTGTTAAATTTATGCCCGTTTTTCCAATATAGTATCTAACATTTATTTCGTTTTAGTTTAGTGTCTAAAATTTCATTCCGTTACTAAAAATAGGTTAAGTTTAACAATTAACCCATTAAAGATATCACTTGACATATTTTTAATATTAAAAATTATTTATAAAAATAAAAAAAATTAAAATGAAAAACTAAACCTAATAAGTCTTTCACTCTCTCTCCCATCTCCCTTTTTTGAAATTGAATTCAAGAACCCTAAAGTCGGTGTCGTCTTCAGCAGAGGTTTTGGTGCTTAGTTTTATAATTAAAAAAGAAAATAACTGTTCCAAAATACATATAACGAAACTTGTTTCAGTTCTTTGGCTCCATTAAAGAATGTTTTGAGGTTTTGTTCAGAAAAAAACGCATGCTTTTTTCTTGGTTTAGTTTTGGATTGATTCACTGAATCGGCATCGCAACTCATTGATGATTTGATAATGCGTTTTTAACTCATAGTTTAAGAGTTCTGTCCTTTGTTCAGATTACTGGTGTAACTTTGATTGCATTTTGGTAGAATGGATGGACTCAGAATCTGCCGATTCCTCCTCTCAACCTCAAACTAAAGCTTCTGATGTTGAAACCTCTGCTGAAGACGACACCGATGTTAAACGGCCGGCTACTACTAATGATACGGGAAGTCATTCAATGGCCAACAACGAGGAACCTACTGTCAAAGCTTATGATATTGAACCCCTAAAGGCTGGTGAACTGATTTAGGGTTATTGAATTCAATTTCAGGGAAAAGGTAGAGAAGAGAAAGAGAGGGAAACACTAAATCAGATTTTGTTTTTCATTTTAATTGTTTTCTTATTTTCAAAAATCATTTTTAATATTAGAAAATATGTTATGTGACGTTTTTAATGGGTTAACAGCTAAATTTAACGGTTCGTCACGACTTAACCCATTTTGAGTAACGGAATGAAACATTAGGCATCAAATTAAAACGAAATAAACGTTAGGCACAAAACTAAAAAAACGGGCATAGGTTGGACACATTTTGTAAAATTAACCCTTATTCTAATTATAATTGACATACACATAAATACATGCAAAAATATATTACTAAAAAAATATTACATATATCTTTAACACACATAATATGTTATATTATTTAAAATTTTACTGAAAATATTCACTAAGACAAAAACATGTGTAAAAAAAACAACACATACATATATTCCACCTTCATGAAAGCATCACATAAGAACTTTGAATCTTTACAATTCAATATTGAATATAATCTTCAAATTTTGAAATATATAATGTACAGTTGAAAAAATATTCTAAATTATTACTTTAATAGATTCATTGAATATTTATATTACTATTTTTTTAAGATCACGAGAGAGAAAACTTTAGGAAAATATGTTTTATATTTGATGTGTTATATTTTCAATTGAATGGAACATTTTACAATAATTTCGTACATGATAGTTGACATCTTATAATATATAAGCAGATCACATATATTATGAATGTGTTCAGTTAATAGTCTTAGCCAAACACATTTTCAACTTGTCTTGTGTAAGTATACATGAAATTTGTTAACAACATGGATAAATAAAGGGGATGGACGGGACAATCTTTCCTCCTAAAATTTTAAATTCATATATGTCTTAGATACTTTGTATAACATCCTTCCTTTGTTAAAAACAATATGGTTATGATTATTTTTGCATAAACTATTAGAAATATTAAAATAACCTTACTTTCATAAAATATAAAATTTAATTATTTAATGATATGATATATCACATTATATAATATTAAAATATCATATTATAAAAAATGAACTGAAAATAATTCTGAAATTCAAAAATTAATATATAAAAAGTAGAGATTAAATCATAAGAAGGAGAATGATGTTTTCATGCTGTATGATTTTGCCCATCGCGTGGGGTATTATACATTTCGTCACTAAAAGGACAAATCACGTCAGGAAACTGAAACGATCAATCTTGACCGTCGGATTTTTGCCCCATTTTATCCTCATCGGCATGGAAGTCCATTTGAAACCGTCGCTGATTCTTAGTTAGGTTTTATTCGCTTCTTCTACTTTTAGCGGCGCTGCGATTCCATGATCGTCACGGTTATCAGCTGAATTCGACTATAACTCTTTCACTTCGAGAATTGAGTCCAAAAAGATAGCTCTGACACCCCTCCTCGATTTTACTCGCATCTCGCAAGACATAGGTAGCTCTCTCTCGTCCTCTCTCTCTTTCATTTCATTGTACAATTAGAGCATAGTTTAGATCGGCTGAATTACTTAGTCTATTGAAAGTTGAAGCTCTTAAGATAAGCAATTAGCTAGAAAATACTGCTTTCTAGAGATTTGGGGATTTTTGGTTCGTTGCCTTCAAGGTTTTACTAGTTTATTCACTTCCTTGATCAAATTTTGCTTCTGTTTGTTTTTTTTAACTATTATATTACTGATCTTGTTGTTATTTTCACAGTGTACGGTTATGAGCAATAATTTAAAGCAATCTGTTTTCTGTTCCAGTCTCTGCAGCTCTTAAGCAGTTGAAAGAGAATGAGAACCAAGCGAAAACGAGCATGCAGGAAGCTCCCTGCCCGAAAACCAGCTGCATTGGCCAAAAATGAAAAAGCAGTGAACCAAGTTGAAAAAACAGCGAACCAAAGCGAGGAAGTATTTTTAAATTTTATTAACCATAATAGGCAAGAGGAGGCTGTGTCTGCAGATTCGAATGATTTGGAAGTAGTTAACTTAGACCCTGCTGGGGCCAAGAGTAATTCATCTTCATCGTCCTCTTCAAGTGACAGTGACAAGTCATTTGGTGCTGAAGAAAGTAGCTCTGACGACTCATCAGTTGAAAGGAGATCAAGGAATTCAACTAAAGGACATGGTAATGCAAAGCAGAAAGCAAGTAAATTACTGAAGAAAGGAAGGAAAGATGGTGATAAGCTGCCCAGGGTTTTGCGTTCTTCCAGTAAAAAGCAGGATGAATCTACGTTGCCTCAGCAGGACTCTCGCTACAATATGAAAGAACTGAAAGCTTCATTGGAGGTATGCTGAGATCCTTATAACTGCTAATTTTTAGTCATTGCTTGATTAACACTTACAATGCTTGAGAAAGAAAGAAGAGGTACTTCCAAATTGCTAGTTTGCCATTTTTCTAAACTTATCAGGTGATTAAGAAAATAATGAAGATGGATGAGGCTCAACCATTTAATGTTCCCGCCGATCCTGTTGCTTCGAGAAAACCTGTAAGTGTATTGCCACTTTTCTAAATTTGTGAATTGTGTATTTGTGTTGCCAATTTATCTTCATCAACTGCATGCTTCGGGTTGAATCTATTCTAGTTATATTGATTTATCTCGCTAACTCTCTCTCTCCTCCCCCCTCCTTCCTCCCTTTTGGGTTGTGGTTTACTGGAAACAGGATTACTTTAGTGTGATAGATACCCCAATGGATTTTGGTACAATATGTTGTAATTTAGAGAATAGCACAAAGTACATGAATGCAGAAGACGTTTTTAATGACGTGCAATACATTTGGGAGAACTGCTGCAAGTCCAATAAGAAGGGAGAGTACATAGTTTATCTAATGAAACGAGTGAAGAAAAAATTCATGAAGTACTGGATAGCCGCTGGCTTGAGCATTGAACAATCAAGAAAGATTAATGGTACGTGTTCAGAGTTACTACTTATTGCTTACTTTCAGGTTATTTCTCCAAAATTTATACCAACTACTTTGCCATTTTTTGAATTTTTACCCTGAAGAAGTAACTGGTGCAGCCAAATACAAGTGATTACAAATTCCACCATATGTATAGATAGTAGGTTTTGGGGTTTACTGATATCTAGAAAGTTTCGACTTCTTTTTGAATTGGAACTCAATATCAGGAGATGCCTTTTTGTTCACATTACATCATGACATTAAACTTCTCTTTAATGAATGTATGAAATGATAGCAGTCTAGCTGGTAAACCTAATGTAGGGTACTTACTTAATTGGTAGGTTAATGTTGAGAAATGGAAGTTTATATACATGTGCAATGATGATCTATCTAATGTCAATGCCCTTGTTCTTGGATTATGAAATCTCAATTATAGGGAAATTATGAGAATTTTGTTTTGGTATTTAAGCATTTACCTTGTAATTTTCATTCACTTGGTGGGAACTTCATACAAACCATCTACAACAGACTATGCTCCGAAAAATAGTGCACATGAGCCTTTCCATCCAGTGGGTGGTGCGGTAGATGGTGCCAGCCATAGTCAGTTGGGTTTTAATCATCATTATCTTTTCTTTCCTCCATCAGGCTATAGCCAACCTCATCAGTTGCCGCAACCTGCACCAAGCACTACACGGACACAGTTGCCTCCGGGGAGTTATCAGCTACCTCAGCTGTCACACCATCCGCAACCAAGCACTAGTCAGCCACAATTCTCCCAGTTACAAGCTCGCACAGGCAATATGTTCATTTCTGTCTATTTTCTCTTGGATGGGTGCTATAACGTTTTAGAATATATCTTTCCTTTTTGCCTGTTCAAAGCTCGTACTAATTTGATTTCAACTTCAAAACATGCCATTGAGAAGGGATTATGTTGTCGTTTTGGTTTCGCAGCAATGGGTAGCGTAATATTTAATGAAATCATTAACATTTTTTTTTGATGTTATACATGTAAATGACCATATTTTTCACAAGTTTACTGGTTCTGCTAGAATAACACTACCTCAAAAAAAAAAAGATTCTAAATCTTGTTGATCTTACTCTATCTGCCACAGGTATGTGATGACACCAGTTAGCTATTTTCATTTCTATCTCACTCCATTAATGATTTTGTAGGATATTCGCATTATCATTAACTACCTAAAGACATGGTCCCTAAACACAAAAATCATGCATCTTCGTCAAAATAGAAAAGAATGCATCTAAGGCTACTGCAGTATTTGATGCACAACAGATTGTTACCCACAAGCAGCCATATGATCTGCAGCAGCAGCATAGCATCAGTCAATTAAATGCTGTTGCACTGCCCTTTTAACTTGTAATCAGGGCATTATATTCTTAAATGGTTCTTTATTTCCGTACTCAAGAATCCGTTATTACAGCAGATTCTGAGTTTGGAAGCATGCATTTTTTCTGCATGTCTGAGATTTAGTTTCGTCATCAATTTGCCCATGCACTTGATTTTCATCTATCTGGCTGCATTCTGTCACAACTACAGCTACCATGTAGTTGTTTTCATTTCTCTTTATGTCCTTTTTTTCCTTCTGCTGTAGGATATTCAAATTTTCAGCCTCCTGGAGATGTAGCCCCAAAACACAAAAAACATGCATCTAAGAAACAAAAAAAGAACTCAGCTATGGGTCCTGCAGCCTCCATTCTCAGTGAGCCACCAGACCAGTTACAACAGCATCATTTGAGCTACTGGCCGCCATATGAACAGAGCATCAACCAGCTACAATTCTCTCAATTGCAGGCTGCCGTAGATGGTGGTGCGTAAAGGAGTTCAGATTCCCAATGATCTTTATACTGTCTTTTATTTCGTAATCAGGACATTATATTCGTAGTGATTACTTATTTTGTTTATTGTTATAACCCATCATTATAGGTTCTGAGTTTAGATGCGTGCTTAGTATCTTCATGAATTTGTCTATATACTCGAAAGTAATTTTTCTCCAAAGGATCTGCATAACATGTTACAGACAATAAAATTATAAAAAATGGATTTAGAGGGATCTCAAGATTTTTTCTTCACATATATCTGACTTTATATTTTTCTGCCCTAGGACACTCACACTTGCTGCCTCAAGCAGATTATACAAGGTCCCGTGGCTATGTTCCCTGTTATCCAGTGGATCCCATGGTTCTCCCTGGCCGATCACATCCCCTGCAGTCCCCATTGAGCCATGGGGAATCTAGTGAGCCACAGCAACGGAAACCGAAGGCAACCCATTGCCAGCCTCAGTCGTCCCAGCTGCAAGATAATGTCGATTTTGGTACCGTCTGAACGCTGCTTCTGTGTCAATCTAGTAACTATCTGCTTACCCTTGTGCTTATATAAATTGTATGGATGGTCTTATCTTCTATGCTATTTGATAATTTAACCATCCGCACCAGCAGGAAAGCAGTAATGAACATAAATAAAAGCTAAACATGATTATCTGGAATAACCTTTAGTTGCTTGTAAAATTGCATCAGCTATGAGTTATTTTGCTTAGGTGTTGTGAAAGTTTGTAGATTTCTTTTATTTGAAAATGATTGATACTTTCAATCTTGATGCAGCTTAATATTAGTGTTTCTTTTCCGGTGGCACATATGGTTTTCTTTCCCCTTCTTGCAGAGCATTCTCACATGTCTCTTACAGATTCTACCGTGAGGGGTATTCGATGTGCACTTAAGTATTCTGCTGGCCCCACAACCAATAAATCTAACCGAGTAAATCAGAAGCAGTTGGGCCATGCCAAATCCCAGCCCGAGCAGACCCCACAGAGCTTGGAACAGCAACCGTTCACAAAAAAGAGGAAAGGAAGAGGTCCTACACGCTGCCGCTTCTTGGACGACCTGGCAGAAGGTGAGCAGATATTTGTCCAGATCAACAAGCTTGGACAGCCTGTTGGTCCAAATGCATACAAGCTAAGCTGCTTCCTGGGCACTATAGCACGGAATGGACACAGAGCACCCCTTACTTTTGTTCACTGGAGGGCAATGCCAGATTCTTATAAAGTGGACATGTGGGACTATGTTCAGGCATGATAAAACATTTGCTCTGTCCTTCTGTGTCATATTACTTCCTTTTTCATTGACATTTTGCCTCTTCCATTTGCTATATAGACAAAGTTTGACATTGATCCAAGTGGCAAGTCTTGGGTCATGCAGGCTATTGGTACAAAATGGAGGGACTGGAAAGCTGATTTAAAGGCAACGTATTACTATTCTCTTAAGACGGATGAAGAGCGCTTGAAGGTATGTGATCCAAGGGTTGTCCCTGAGCAATGGTCAAGTCTTATTTCATACTGGAACACTGATGAGGCAAAGGTACATGCTGAAAAGTGATTGTCAACCCCAAATACCTGCAAATTTTTGGTAATTAATGTTTATAATTGCCCTTTGTAGAAGCGTTGTGCAAGAAATAAGGCTATCCGTAAAAAACAGACGTGTGGACATTCATCAGGGACCAAGAGTTATGCAAGGATATGTGAGGAGGAGGTGATTTCTCATTTTCTGTAGTTACATGCATGTTTCATATTTTGCTTTGGCCATATTTGAAAGAAGCTGTTGCTTTTGTTGTTGAAATAGCGAAACAAGAGGCCTGATGGGAAGGAACCAACTAGAGCTGAGCTTTATATACTAACACATACACGCAAGGATGGACAGCCTGTTGATGAGACTGCGTCAAAATTAATTGTATGTACAAATAACTCAACTGTACTTTTGCTAGTTGCAGATTTATGTGTAAATCTTATGCATCCGACCTTGATAAATTTTGCAAGTTGAACAGTTGTGTTTTTCTTTGCAGTCAAAGATCCGCGAACAAGAAGCTAAGAAGCAGAATAACTCACGATGTAGTGATGAGTCAAATGACACCTTGTGTCAAGTTATGGGAGAAGAAAAAGGCGACTGCATGGAAACTTCTGGAATGGGTCCCAATCGTACTGGTATTTTTGGCTCAAGGCCTAGCCGTGCTGCCCTTGTGAGGATGGCTTCCGAGGCCAAAAGTTCCGCAAATGAGGAGGTGCGTAAGATGACAGTGAAAATGGAGGCCATGGAGGAAAAATATACCCTTATGGAAAACCACATGGCTAGAATGGCTTCAAACATGGAAAAGTTTCTACAGAAGATTGACGCGTCTTCAAATGTTTTGGGGTCTGAACAGGTAACTCTTATACCAGTATTTAATGGTAGTTATTTTTTGTCTTATGCCATACTATTGTGCTGTTTGCATAACAGTTATATGATACTCCTAAATGTCCCGAGTACACAATGAAGCTACAACCTACAATAATATTTAGCAGGGACAATATTTTTACTGGACATGTTAACTAATTAGCTTGTCTCGGAAATGTACCAAGAGCCAATAAAAACACAATGCTGTGACCAAATGGGTTTGCAAAATAAGGGACTTTTAAGCGTATAGGGTAAACCAAAATATTATGAAAAGTGCCTTAGTTGATTGTAGGATCTCAGTTGTGAAAACAAAATGATCTCAAAATATAATATTTTAGGAAATAGCATGTCATGAATTTGTAGTTTGGTTGCAAATATGTGCAATATTATTAAGCATATTTCAGGAATTTACACTACATGACATTGAAGAAATGTTTTCTCATGAGATTCTACACCTTTGATCATGCCTTCCATCAGGACGAACGCATGACTTTATGCCATCCAAAGGTGCGAACTTTTAATAAGTTATATTAGAAATTTAGGGGGTGTCAAATTAGATCTTCGATAATAAATACAAAGAAAATACTTAAACTATATGGGAAATTGAAATTTCCAGAGTGGGTGTGATTGTCCCCCTCGAGATCCCTGCCTTCCATGTATGCTATTTGTCTCGATTACGTTAACTTGTCAATGGCACAAGGAAAACAATACTTCCTTTGTTCATTGTGCATTTGCCTTTCGGAAACTAGTTTTGCCAATGTCTTCTACGGAAGCTGCTCTCAACCTGGCGTTGGGGGACAGCCTACTACCCTACCTCCCTCTTATCCCATTACATATGGGAATAGGGTTTTGTTGTTGTTGTTGTTGTTGAAACCAGTTTTTCCAATAACTTGGTTTTGTTTTCTTTTTCCAGCATTTCCACGAGGAGGAAGACCCAGAAGAAGATGATACTTGATGGACTTTACCCACCGTTTTCGCCCTAGGTGGCGTTATGTTGATTCAATTTGGTAGTGTTTTAATGTTGAACTTCTGAAACATGAACCATTGAAGGAATGAAGTTGCTAAGTGAAACGTTCTATTTTATATGTATGTATAGGGAGCTATTAAGCTAAATGGTCGTGGGTGGATCGCCACCACCGGACGACTAGTTGAATCGTTTCTCTCCAGTATTTATTTTTTCCCCTGATGAGTTTATGTTTCCGGTAGGATAACGACAATGCATGCAATTATTTAATCGGTTTAGGCTTTCAAGTTGACATGGTTTCAGAGCTAAGCTTCTACATGTGTGTGTACAAGTATGTTCAGTATATAATCACTATTTTCAGATGATACGATTCATGTGGATTTGTAGAACTTTAGATATCCCCCGACGTTATCATTTGATGTAATTAATACCTATTTATTCCAGGAAATTCTCCTTGTAGCCCCTCAGACCCGGTCTGTAAGTTAGACCCAAACTTAAGTGGTCACATATCCTATTCAGAGGTTTTTTTTATATCTTACAATACATTATATTAATACAAACCAAAATATTAATAATACAAATATATCCAAAACGATAACAAATACATGTCACCAGATACAACAGAAAACATGTAGATATATATGTTCGTACAAAATAAGTAGTTGATATCTCCGGATGTCAAATATGCTAGCTTACGGTTTTCTGTTATCTGAAAGAGAATGAGCTAAAAAGCTCAGTGTACTCCATACAGTGTATAAAAACATATTAACAAAATATTTTAATAAAATTTGTTTATGCAATATGTTTTGAAAACATGAACATTACTCCATCCTATCACAATCTGTTTGTGTAGGTTCCCCAGAACCATACATCCCGCACAACCAGTAAGGCCTTGAGCACACAGCCGAGGAACCTGCAGATAATCTTCCTCCAATAATTTTCCCCCCAATGATAATAATGAATATGAATTTATGCGCGTAAAACAATGAATAATTCTTTAAAAACAATAAGAATGTTTCAAGCTTGAAAACCATAAACAGAAATACACAAATCAAAAATCAAATCAGTAATGTATGGTAATTCAGATGTTGGGTAATCAGTATTCAGAAAACGGTATAAAATATCGTAACCATAAATCATATCAGAAATATATAGTAAATCAGAAATCAGATACACAGTATTCAGATATTTATATACTTTAAAACAATAATATAACACTATCAGGAAACACACCTGTAACAGTCTGAGAAATCAGATAAGGAAGCCTATCACTGGGTTTGTCGATCACGCTCTGCTGCAGCGCTAGATCCTACGAATTGGAAAAATCCATATTGGAATCCTAATATAAATAATCTTTATTTAAATAATATACGGAAACCTACGGGTAATTCTTGTAGTACGCGATTCAAGCTGATCTGACGAACGAACAACTCCAGACCTAACTGATCCTCGTTCATGTGAAACACGGGTACCTTCATAAAATATTTTACTGAATTAATTCCTTAACCAATTCTCAAATAAATAATCAAAATACTAAAATACTAAACCTTTTTGGGTTCACATGCTTGATTCGAGGATTTCGGGTCAGAATTTGACAAAACGGACTTCAGAATCAGATTCAGGACTTCGAAAAACATAAAGTATGACCTTCCGAAATTCTGAATTCTTGGTCAAAATCAAAGTCAACGGGTTTGACTGACGATTCAGATACTTTCATGTTTGAATTTTGTGAAACCGACCCCAAAAACAGATTCAGAACGTCGAAAAATGTCAGGATAGGTATTATCGGAAAAGATTATAGGTTGTTTAATGGCCGGTCAAAGTTCAGGTCAAAGGAGGTTAACAAACTGTCAACCATTTTACAGAAATAACACCCTTTTTAAAATAATTACCAAAATAGCACCCTTTTTTGAATTAATTCTCAAAATAGCACCTTGTTCGAATTAAATTCCCAAAATAACACATTTTCGAATTAAATTCCTAAAATAGCACCCATTTTGAATTAATTCCCAAAATGTTACTCGGTCAACGGGTCGGGTCGGGTCGGGTCATCGGGTCAACGGGTAGGGTCTGAACCGGCCAAACCCTTTGAAAAACCGGTTAAACCGATTATTTTAGCCTTCCCCACGTGCAGTGGGGGCGCGTGAGGACTCTTCTGGCTGCGTAAAATTCACGAAAAAATTTCTAAAAATTATTTTGAGCAATTTCGAGATACTTACAAATATCGGTTCAATTTTTTGAACGGCGGAGAGCTCGATTTCATCAAATTGGAAACTTTGACCGCTTCACCACCACACGCGCCGCCGTCGCCGGAGAAAAAATAGGACACCGGTGTACTCGGAACGGCACAAGGAACACGATGGTGCCGGAGGTGTCGGAAACGGAGCAACAATCGACGATGAATTTAAGATTTTCTCGACGATTGAGCTAAAAAAACGTCGAGGCTTTGATTAGAAATTCCCGGCGTTTGGCAGCGTTTCGCTTCAATTAATTTAAGGGACTTGTTCCTCACTCAATAACGAACATGATGGTGGTTTCAAAACGACGACCGGAATTCGGACGGCGTCGGGATCGTGGTTGGAAAATGGGCTATGGGAAGGGAATTTGGGATGAATTGGTTTCTGATTTTCAGAAACCAATTCATGCATATAATACCACATACCTAACATTTTAGGGTAAATTCATGGCTTGGTCCCTGAATTTCCTTTAACTCTAAAACAAGCTACGAATTTTTAAAATCTTTTAATTTAGTCCCCAAATTTCACCAAATTACTTAATTAAAACCTCAAATTACAAATATATTTTTTTTCAAATTTATGGGTTGTTACAATTCTCTCCCTCTACAAGAAATTTCATCCTCGAAATTTACCTTATGCAAATAGATGAGGAAATTGAGCCTCCATTGACTCCAATGTCTCCCAAGTAGCTTATGAGGGACTACGATTACTCCACTGAATTTTGACCATTGGAATTCGCCTATTCCGAAGAACTCATTCATCTCTCTCTAAAACCTGAACAAGCTCCTCCTCATATGGCAAATCAGGCCTCAGCTCTACCTCATCAACTTGAATGATGTGATCTGGATCTGGACGGTATCGCCTCAACATAGACACATGAAAAACATCATGAATACGACTGAGCTGGGGAGGCAACTCGAGTTGATAAGCAACAGGTCAAACTTTCTTCAAAATACGATACGGCCCAATAAATCGCGGACTCAGTTTACCCTTACGTCCAAATCTCAATTCCTTCTTCCATGGAGATACCTTGAGAAAAACCTGATCTCCAACCTCAAACTTGATATCCTTACGTCGCTTATCTGTGTATGATTTCTGCCTATCGAATGCCTCTTTTAAGCGATCACGGATCAATCTGACAGTATCTTCAGTCTCCTTAACCAAGTCTGGACCCAAAGTTTTTCTATCATGCAACTCTGTCCAACATATAGGAGTACGACATCTGCGTCCATACAGAGCCTCGTACGGTGCCATGTGAATACTTGCCTGGTAATTATTATTGTAAGCAAACTCAGCTAATGGCAAGAAATCTTCCCAACTACCATGAAAATCAATCACACAACCCCGTAACATATCTTCCAACACCTGAATTACTCGCTCAGACTGTCCATCAGTCTGAGGATGAAAAGATGTACTGAAATTCAAACGGGTACCCAAAGCCTCGTGCAAAGCCTTCCAGAACCTGGAAGTGAACCTCGGATCTCGATCATATATGATAGACAACGGAACACCATGAATTCTAACGATCTCATAAATGTACAACTTAGCCAGTTTGTCCAAAGAATAATTAATCCGGATAGGAATAAAGTGCGCTGACTTGGTGAGTCGATCAACAATCACCCAAATAGAATCCTTTTTAGAAGGAGTCAGAGGAAGACCAGTAACGAATTCCATTGTAATGCGCTCCCATTTCCACTCAGAAATCTTAATTGACTGTAACAATCCAGATGGATGTTGGTGTTCTGCCTTAACCTGCTGACAAGTCAAACACCTCGCCACAAAATCTGAAATATAATTTTTCATACCAGTCCAGAAGTAGCGCTCTTTGAGATTATTGTACATTTGTCCCCGCCAGGATGTATAGCATAAGGACTACTATGAGCCTCCTGAAGAATAACTCACCTCAAATCATCATCTTTAGGAACGCAGTAACGACCGTGAAAACACAAAATATCATCCTGATCCACAGTATACTCTGAACTCGATCCTTGTTTAACTTGTTCAATAATGGAAAGCAATGAGCTATCCAGAAGTTGTTTGGTCTTAATCTCCTCGGCCAAAGTAGGCTTAACCTACAACTCTGCTAACAGACTATTATCATCAAATAAACTCAAGTTGGTGAATAAGGCTCTGAGATCTGATATTGCCTTACGACTCAAGGCGTCTGCCACTACATTAGCCTTCCCTGGATGATATTCTATCTCTAAATCATAGTTCTTTAGAAGCTCCAACCAGCGACGCTGTCTCAAATTCAATTCTTTCTGAGTAAGTAGATACTTCAGACTCTTATGATCAATATAAATATAACACTTTTCTCCGTAGAGGTAGTGTCTCCAGATCTTTAAAGCAAAGACCACAGCAGCTAACTCCAGATCGTGAATAGGATAGTTACGCTCATGCGGCTTTAACTAACGCGACGCATAAGCGACAACCTTCCCATCTTGCATCAAAATACATCCTAATCCAGAATGAGAAGCATCACTGTAGACATAAAAATCTTTCCCAGATTCAGGCTGAATCAACACTGGAGCTTGAGTTAAAACAGTCTTCAATTTCTCAAAGCTAGCTTGTTGGTCCTCAGACCAGACAAATGGAACATCCTTCCTCAATAGTTTCGTCATAGGAGCTGCAATAAAGGAGAACCCCTCAACGAAACGACGATAGTAACCAGCTAAGCCCAAGAAACTACGGATCTCCGAGACGTTCCTGGGTTACTTACAGTTCAGAATAGCCTCCACTTTGCTCGGATCCACCTGAATGCCATCAGAAGAAACGATATGTCCAAGAAAAGTAACTTCGCTTAGCCAAAACTCACACTTGCTCAACTTAGCATAAAGCTTATTCTCCATGAGAATCTGTAGAACAATCCTTAAATGATTCTCATGTTCAGCTTCACTTCTAGAATACACCAGTATGTCATCAATGAATACAACTACAAACTGATCCAATTAAGGTCGAAACACCCAATGCATCAAATCCATAAAAGCAGCAGGGGCATTCGTTAACCCGAATGACATCACTAAAAACTCATAGTGCCCATA